GCCTTTAGCCAGTCACTGTCTCAAGCTTTGAGGATCCTTGTGAGAATGCATGGGCAGCAGGTGAACAGTGTGTGCAACTTAGAACTTCTTGAAGTAAAGGGGAGATAGAAATGCAATTAGGGAAAAACCCTCCTAAATCTTAAATTTTTAAAGCATTTCATAAGCTTTAGGGATGTTCGGACAATACCCTCACAATGCATTCAGTGAGCATTTGAAGCAGCTTAAACACGCAGAACTGCATTCACCTCGGTCCACATTCTCACTTTGAACGTGTGGCAGGGATGGAGTAGCACCAGTTGGCACATCAGTGCAAGGCATGGGCAGCCAATGTGCACCTCCTGCCTCATCATGCATTCATTAAACATAAGAGGCAGTCATTTGAGCACCTTGTGTGTGTCTGCCACTCAAAAGCAAATGAGGTACTCAGAATAAACTGGAAACGCTGACTTCATTAGTCGGATACTTAGGATGGCGGCAGCAGTCAATCACTGGTGGTGACGGAGCTGTCTTCACTGAGACTAGAGAGATGATTGTCTAAGTGTTTTCGGGAAGCTCTGGAGTTGCTCGAGGTGGGGTGGGGGGTTAGTGAGAAGGTCAATAACACCAGAAGTCATGCATTATGGAATACTGAGTGTGGTCTAGACAAACCTCCCACAATAGGGTGCTCCCCAGCTATTTTGAATCAGCTCCAATCTGCTCTAGTCTAATGCGCCAGTGAAGGCCAGCAGTTGGCCAGTGGTGCTGGACATCTCTTCCATTCACATGAAGCCAAGTTGGGAAAGGCTTCCGTAGGCTGTGCTTTTCCATTACTATCCCTTGCCAGTGTTCCCCTAAAAACAAACTGGGGTGACTTGGCACCCACAGATACCCCTGCTATGGGAGCAAGACCTGGTGTGACCAAGCCAGCTGAGCTGCCATCACCAAAACCCAGTCACTCTGTCCCTTGTGAATAACTATCCAAGATTCTACTGGAATCTCTTGTGCTGAACTTCTCTGTAGCTCTCATTGTCATTAAGGGAGTACAGCTAAGTTATGAACTTGCTTATGTTAAATTCGACCTGATTATTTAAAAAGTGCTAATGTGACCAATAATGTGGCGCAGCCCCATGTGAGTCTCCTGTTTTTCACACAGCGGTGCTTTGGTTAAAACAGGGTAAAAGGCTTATTAGGGAAAGCTTGGTCAGATTCAGAACACAAAGCAATTCGATGGCAAATGACAAATAAACAGAAAATAGAGTATAGGTAGTACAGCTCTGTGTTAAGTTGCCTTCCTGGTTCCTTGTACTTCTCCGATGATAGAATTCTGCTAGACGGCCTACGCCAGCCATGCAGGATCCAGTCAATGGTCCATCCAGTCCAGCATGCTGCTGACATGATAGCAAACTAATTGTCCACAGGACCCCTCAAGCAGGACGGGGAAAAGCCTTTCACCTTCCCAAGCTCCTCCGCAACTGGAGTATGCAGGCATGGCGTCTCTGATAACAGAGGCAACCCCAGGCAGCAAAGCTAGTAGCCATTGATAACCTCCTGTATGAATTTGTCCAGTACCCCTTTAAAACCATCCAGAGTGGTGACTGTCACTAGTTCATGTGGCAGTGAATTCCATAGTCTAACTATGCATGATGTGAGTAAGTGCTTCCTGTCTTCCCTGTTCACTGGGGAAACAGCACTGTTGCACCTGTACCAAAGCAAAACCTTAGTGCAGTCTGCTCTGGTGCCCACATCGAGCTTCCTCACTTCCTGGGGAAGTTTGTCTTAGCACCAGTTCTGAGAGAGAAGAGACCCCAGATACACGGAAATACACTTCCTTCCCAGTGGAGTGTATTTCCTTCAGTGTTTCTGAGTGGAGATTCCAGAAGAATCTCTTATTTTTTTGTCTGCTAATGACTCATCCTCAGCTCTGAGGTGGACTCTGGGAGATGCTTTATTGTTTAGGCACCTGAGAACTTTACTATTCAATAGGTTTGCTAGATATTTAGCATTAAGATGACCTCAGGCAGGGCACCTGCATTGCAGTGCCAGCATCCAGATGACCTGGACTTGATCTTCAGCAGAGAGCTGCAACTAGTTGCAAAAGAAATGTTTCTTTTGCTTGGACCCGAGTAAGATAGGGTGAGTATGGTCTGGCTGAATGGGACACTCCAGGCTGACTATCACATAATCTGCATTGTAAGTACAAACTGGAATTTATTGCAAGACATTATGGTTTGATAGCAAATGCCCAGGAAGCATTTGAAAACTATTGGCCAGGAACCATGTGCTCTTTGCAGATGAAAAGCATGTGTATGAGTAGATTGTGTTTTGCTCAGGGAGACCTACTGCTATTTGGAGATAGAAGAGCATTGCTGCCTTCAACAGCATGCGTCTGCTCACCTGTAAGAGAAAGCATCAGCTCAGCTCCTGGCCAGCAGAGCCAAAGTCAGAAATGCCAGGACTTGTAGTCCAAAATATCTGGGGAGCTTTCGGAGCCCAGTAAGACAGACAAGACAGGAGCAGCAAGTACATGTAGCAAAACAAAACAACCCCCAACCCATCCTGTCTTAGCACACAGGAAAATATTCAGGCAATTTTCTGTATGGAAATGAATCATACATGAAATGATCCCACCACGGAGCATTTTAAAAATGAGGAAAGAGTCCTTGGAAGGTCACTGAAGTTCTTAAAGGGATGTGATTCCCTAATCACATGTCCTCAAGCCCTCCATTTCCACAAGGTCACTTCCTTAATCTCCTGATGTCTTTGTAAAGAGTGATCAAGGGGAGGGATGCGCTTTACTGCTTAGAGTGTGTTCGCTTAGCACACAGGCTGGATGTTGATAGTGGGCCTGTTTGCACTTAAAGGAGCTTCTGCACGAGGACTTGGGAAGAACAATGTTGTATAGCTCCCAGTCAAAATTAGTGATGTTGCTCAGATTCAAAATCGGTGGCTCATCTGTTGAATCTAAACTCCTGGCCTCATTCTAATGCACTTCCATATTTTTGAAATTCAAACTGAGATGTTTTCTGATCTGCACATGTGGCAGTAAGCAGCCAACCTCCAGCATCATTTTGCATGTTCAGATGTTGATGGCTGTCAGCAAAGCACATGTGACGATGGTCAATCAGCGAAGGATGCACCATAACGAATTACATATGGGGCAGAAAAGAGCCATATAGGATACATGTTACACTGATGTTTGTTTATCTATTCTATTGATTTTAGGAGAAAAAGTGGCTAAGAACGAAAACTGAAATGTGAAGTACAAATTTGGTTAAACCAAGTGTAAAGTCAGTGTGAACCAGTGCGGTGTGCTAGGGACCTGGGAAATGCCATTCCTAAGCCCCTCTTGGCCATGAAGTTCACTGGATGACTCTGGGCCAACTACTCACTTTTAGCCCAACCTACCTCACAAGGTTGTTTTTCTGGGAATACAGTGAAGCTATTTATTTAATTTATTTATTTATTTATATTTTTCGATTTATATCCTGCCTTTTTCCTACAAAGGGCTCAAGGCAGCTTATATCTCCTCCTCCATCTTATCCCCACAACAACCACCCTGTGAGGTAGGCTGGGCTGAGAGTCCGTGACTGGCCCAAAGTCACCCAGTTGGCTCCATGGCTGAGCGGGGACTCGAACCCGGATCCCCTGAGTCCCAGTCCCATCCTCTTCACTACGCCGCCACACTGGCTCTCACATACTGGCGCGCGCGCGCGCGCGCACGCACACACACACACACGCACACACACTACGTCACACTGGCTATGTAAGCCACCTTGCATTTCTCACAAGATGAAAACAGCAGGATATAAATGAAATGCGTAATAGTAAACTAAATGCATTAAAAAATGCAACAATAGAGTAAAACCAGAGGCGGTCCAATAGAACAGCTCAAAAGTCTGCTTGAATAAACCATTATTGAAAAGACTACCTTCCCATGATGCACTTTGAGGCACATTTGCAAAAATGTGAACACAGTTCAAAAACAGCATAACTGCAAACTTTTGTCTGAATTGATAATTTTAGATTCAGAACTTGGTGACCAAACTGTGAATTGTGACTAGATCCATTCAACCGCCACTAAATTGCTTGCACATGCATAAAGCAGCTTAATGTGTTTAGAGGGTGTAAACTTGTAAATCCTTACTGAAGGGACAGGGACCGTGTGGTGCTCCAGATGTTGCTGGACAACAGCTTTAATTGCTAGCTAGGGCAGCAGGGAGTTGCTGGCCAACAGCATCTGGGCAGCCACATGTTCCCCATGCTGCTTTCCTGCTTAATGTGGCTTCGCATCGCCAGGCACACAGAAGCTGTCTTTCCTGACGGTACTCCCTTCAGCAGAGGTCAAGGAGGTCACAGCTGCCCCAGATATTTATTCCTACATCTTGTAAATGCAAGGCGCTGTCAGTCATGAAAGGCTGCAAGCAGGCTGATATGTCAATAGGAATTTCCTCTCTTATTACTCTCCTTCCCCAGTGGGAGAAGACAGCTGTCAGGTTGGGAAAATATTTCCTTCTGTTGTTCATGATTTAGAGCCCTTTCAATACTGTCACTTACCTCCCACTGAAGAGTACAACTTGGGTGTGTTTTATCAAGCCTCTTCAGCAATGGTATCTCCAAAATCAGGGAATGGTTTTTATAGACTGTGAAAAAGCAAAAAAGCAACAACACAGCCTTGCTCTGGTGAGTTTTCTGCAGTACAGCCTTTCAAATTACACCTGAATGGCAGGCCAGGTGTGAAGTGCTCCACTGAAGGTCTGACTGCTGTAATGCCAACCCTAAATCAGATATTCTAAAATGTTGTGGAGGGAAGAAATTGACTGTCAGATTTGATCAGCACCATTAAATAGGCTGTCATCGGAGTACTAGATGTTTCATTCAGATACAAATGCAGCTGCTGTTCCTGATGGCTGCTGAATGCAGATAAGGTAGGTGCAGGGAAGAACGTTATGTGAACAGGAGTCATTTTCACCCCATTGTCTTGATGGTCTCTTCCTCATGCTTGGCTCCTTTTCCCCTTACAGGTACAACATGTTTGATTGCATTACTCTCAGATAAGGAGCTCACAGTAGCCAATGTTGGGGATTCAAGGGGTGTCTTGTGCGATAAGGATGGAAATGCTATCCCCTTGTCCCACGATCACAAACCCTATCAGCTGAAGGAGAGGAAGAGGATTAAAAGAGCTGGTAAGCTTATAAAGTTTGATGTTTTTTCTGTGGGTGTTCTAACAAAAATATTGTTGTCTTGTCAGTTTGGTTTCTCTGTTTGCCTTTTTGGTAATATGGAGCCTCTCTTTGGGGAAGACCCACCTAGGGATGTAAACTTTTTGCTAAATCTGTTGCTCCCGAGTCTTGCAGATCTTTCATGCTATCATTTGGTCATTGATGGTCATTTTTAACCAATGTTTTTACCATAATTTTGTTCTATTGACATGTTGATCTGCTGCAGAATACGCTGGTTGGATTCACAGAACTGCAAACTCATTTCACTCCGCTGTGGCTTTCCCTAACATGCCTAGGTCCACCTCACCCATCTGGGGATCCTGGTGGTAAAAAGAGCCCTGGGGGTCATGCTGTGGGCTCAGCATAGTCTGTCCTGGAGACACAGATGGGGTGTTCCAGAGGCAGGTCAGGGAAAGCTGTGGCCCCGCAGGATTCTGTGGCCCCTTGATCCCTTGGCACTTCCCCACACAGACTGCAAAAATATAGCCACCCTAGAGCTGGTGTAGTTCAGTTCCTTCCATTGCTGTCGATGGGAGCAGGGTGAGATGAAGAAGGAGGAAAATAGAAAAAGCCACAGAAAGAGACACATACCCCAGGCTGGCTGGAGCAGGCCAGCAGTTTTTTGTCTTCTAATTAAAAAAAAAAAATAATACTCAAACCACGAAATGGTTTTCTGTTGGGGTGGGAAGAGAGCACAACTATTTTCCCCCTTGAGAGTACAAAGTCATCTTTTTACAGCAAAGCACCTATTACCAATTAACATTTGAACCTGATTACTGTAATTCCAAAGAAGAGCCCTCATTAAAGAGATGAATATTCTAAAATGCCACTAAATAATCAGCTGAAAGCATCCCTGCTGGGTGGAAATGTAACTTCAGGTGATTGTTCTCTCAATATATTATATAGACATTTCTGGAGGGGGACGGGTATTTTTTTAGGTCTAGCATCAGGAACTGGTGTTGTCAGGCACCTACCAAGGTCAGCGTGTTAGCAGTGGGCTCGCTCCCCATTCCTCCTGCTGCCCTTTCTTCTTGCTTTTTTTGCATGCCTCCCCTGGGTGAGCAAGCAGAACAGGAGCAAGGAGCAAGAGCAGTGGCCATTGCACACTGTGCCCTCCTCTGGGCAGCCATGCTGACTGGCTCCAGGTGAGGCAAAGAGATGCCTCAGGGAAGAGGGCCACCGAAACCATGTTGCCCATGGGTCTTCCAAAATCTGGAGCCACCAGTAAATATGAGTCTTCTGGTTCTAATTTGCAGACCAGGTCAGAGATGAGAACCTAGGAAAGCCTCACTAATTTATCCACATCAGTCAAGCCAGAAGGCTAAGAGAAGCCCAAGAGCTTTGTTGTACTCCATGTTCTTTATGTGCATTTAGGTCTCAGAGAGTTTCACTCCAGCCTTGCTTAGGAAACGGCAAAGGATCCAGGGATGCATCTTGCAGGGTGTCAGTTGCTTTGTGCCGACCCTGTGAGGCAAGAAGAGCCACTTGGAGTAGCAGCCTCCATCGAGCCACTGCTATAACATGTAAATATACCGAGAGCCAACCCAGCAGTAACATGAGAAGCCATTTTGTGCCCCAGGCAGCTTTCCTCCAAACCTGAATTAGCCATTCCATTAGTTAAAGTGGACATGGCTTCATGATGTAGCTGTAGGATAATAGGAACAACCCCACATGCCTCTAGGCACTAGGGGCCTGCAGAAAGGGTTTAGCTCATCCTCTTGGTGTCCTCCAGCTTGGATAAGTTCCTTTTTCTGCCCCTTCCTTCTTCTAGTCTCTCCTTCTTGGCAACCAAGAAGCAGAGAAAGCAACCAAGAAACTGCATCCTGTATTACTGTGATTTCTTTGTATAGGGCAACTCTGCTGCTAGTCACAATAGACTATCCAGTTCTGTCTGCGCACTTAGCACACAAGAGCATAAGAATTGCCTCGCTAGGTTGGATTCCATTCTCCAAATGCCTGAAGGATTATCACCTTGAGGAAAGCATGGACTTCCTCTCCTCTGCCTGAGGGGATAAGATGGATATTACAGGAGGGTGGCTTTTAGTTGAACAAGAGGGAAAAAATAGTAAGAGCTGCTAAACAATTGAACCAGTTGCCTGGAAGGCTGGTGGACTCATGTGTTGGAGATGCCCTGGCTTTCCATTGCTTGCATCAAGAAATTGGATTTAAATGCCTGCAAAGCGCCCTCCAACTCTAGGATCATCAGAAAGGCAATTTAATCAAGCGTTCTGTTTTTAGCTACTTTCAGTCAGGGGCTTCTAGGACTTCACAAGCAGGGCATGGAGGCAACATCCTGCTTTGTGGCTTGTCCCATCATCTGGCACTGTCATCCAAAGACCTATTTACCTTGAGTCCATCTAACCCAATGGTCCCAAATGTTATTTGATGTCCTGTCATCCCTGAAAATGGGCCACGCTGGATGGAATTATGAATAGTCCAACAATAGTCCACTATGGAATTATTATAGTCCAGCAACATCTGGAAACCTTCAGTTGCGTATCTGATCCCAAAAACTAGGGATGGGCAACATAGTAGGTCAGATGTTTTATTTTGTAACCCCATCATGACTGGCTGGCCTGTGGGAACACTCCACACTGAACATTTTTGGCTGGTCCTGCTTGTCTTACTCTTCAAAAACGTACTCTGCTCTATATTCTTATGCCCTTGTATTCCATAAATTAATTACCTGTTGTACGAAAAATAGTCCTGAAGCTGATTGGAAGCTGGGGGATTTGCATGACTGAGAACAAGTATTAATTATGAGGGGAGGGGGGAAAGTATTTCTCTCTCATAATTTTCTAAACTTGTTCTTAATTTCTAAACTGGAACACACCAAATGCTTTAGGCTTTCTTTTTCGGAGGGTTGGCCCAGCAATGCCTTGATTAATTTGGTGGCCCTATTCTGTACCATTTTGAGTCGGAACGTTCCACAGAGACTTGTTTGGACATAGAGATATGCATGAATATCTATGTAGACTCTCTTTCTCCAACCTGCAGCCTTCCAGATGTGTAGTCCGACACATCTGAACAGCACTAGATTGTCAAAGGATGGTGTAGTTTGATGGCATGTAAGGATTTCATATGGAGTGAAAGGCTGCGTTGAGTGTTGGAGCCTCCAGCTGCATGTTCCAGATAGAAGGAAAGCATATCCACATTGACCCTCCAAATCCTTTTGATGTCAGCTCTTCTAGCAACAACATGTAACAGTGCCAGAAACTTTAAAAACCTGCTTCTCTGACAGCAGCTTAAAAGGCACAATGATTTATTTTGTAATGAGAATTTTAAAGTATTCATTCAAAAGGCAAAAACATGAAAAATTGATGGGAGGGGTTTCAAAGAAAATTATTTTCATTCAATCCCATGTACTACCACATGTGCTATGTTAGGATTTCAGCTTTTGCTTTATAGAGGCAGCAAAAAAGCTACTTTCAGTTCATAAGTCCTGGCAGTTGAGGTTAGCATAAGCAAAGTCAGTTCCATCAGCCATTCCTTTTCCCTGCAAAAACTGGTGGACCAGGAGGGAGGGAGTCCATGAGCATCCCCTCTTTTTGCTGCTAGCAGATACTCCTTGAACATTTTACTCTTGCGTCCTGTGATCTCTCTTTTCTTTGTGCTATTGTCAAACATACATGTGACAACATGCAGCTATAAAGAGGTTTGCCATCCCTCCTGTATCTATGTGTTCTTTTCTTGAATGCTTTAAAACAGCAAGGCTTCTAGCCCAAGGGAACAGAATGCAGGAGCTTTTTTACATAAAGTGTTTATTGTGGTTCATGATTCCTCACTCATGGTAATTTGCTTTAGACAACACTGTCATGCTCCATGTCCTCTTCTGTTCTTTGCAAGCAGCACAGCACTGTGTGTGTGTGTGGGGGGGGGG